ATAGTTGTAATTAAATTATGTTATATATATTCGTTATTGTAATAATTTAATTATGTATGAGTTATGTATATATAAACATTATAGAAATGGTATTTTTATTTTATAAATTAAAATGAATTAATATTTATTGTAACAAATTTTAAAATAAATACGAATATCTAGTATTAAAATAAATATTAAAACAATAAATATCTCTATTTAAAAAAAAAATATTAAAATATTTTGTCTGAATGCAGTAATAGAAAAGATATTTAATAATATCTTTTGATATCTTATTTTGAAAATATTTAAATAATATATAGACTATGTATATTTAATAATAACTAAGTTTGTTATATACAAAATATTAAAAATTACATAAATTAAATAGATCAACCTAGACTATTTATAGGTAGATAACAAATAAGACTATGTTTTAATAGATTACTAGATACAGACCCGCCCTCTAGAGGGCGGGTATATACTTTGTTTTACATTTTTAATTTTTTTTTATATTTATCTATGTCTTGTAATTATATTTGTGTTTTTTAGTTATATCTTGAATTCAATAAAACAGGAATGGTCATGTATTAATAATATTGATATATACCAGGTAAAAGTAGAGGCACAAAATAGGACTGGTCATGTATTAATAATATTGATATAGGTATGTTTTCAATAGATTGATATTTTTTGTTTGACAATTTTTTTTGAAATTTAATTTTTATATTTATGTTTTATTTGTAATCATATTTGTGTAAAATATATTTTTTTAAAATTATTAGTAAGAAATTTTGATATTGTATTGAATTACTATATACTTGTTCCTAGAAGTGTGCAAAAAATTCAAACCCTCCAAACCTAAAACGAAAAAGTAGTACCAAATCTAAACCAAAACTGATTTAATATTCGAACGGTTTAATATTCGAAGTATATAAAGAACCAAAATCAAATCTGATCCGAACCAAAATATTTCGAGTATTTGAATATATCCGAATCAGATTTATATACTTGAGTATATTAGCTAAGTTTATATTTAATATCTAAAAAAATATTAAAAAGTTTTAAGTTCTTTTGAAGTTGTCTAAAAAAGTTAGAAAATATATATAAATAGGTAAAAGTAAATATCTAAAGTAGCTAAACAATATCCAAAACATGAAATAATTAAAATATTTATTGATTCTCCATCCGACTATTCAAACTAAATCAATTTGTATGTTAAGTTTAGGTATTATGACATACATTACTCAAATTTATATGTAATTATTAGTTATTTTTAGATTTTGAGAAATTTATCATATATGTGAATTTTAAAATTTTAAAATAATTTAAACGGGTTATCAGAACCTTAACATAATCCGCAAGGATCCAAACCAAATTTGAACCATAACTTCTAAATATCCAAACGGGGTTATAATTGTTAAACCCCAAAACCCAAAAAGATCCAAACTAAATTCGAATGGGTATCATAACATCCCTCCTACTTGTGCCATAGCCATTAACATATTAATTTGTACTTTATTCTTAACCAGTTATTAATTTAGAAAAAATAATAGTATAGTCTCAGTTTTGTTTACTAATAAAATAGTAATCACATAATATTACACATCATAATTTTTCATGCAATTAAAATGAGTTTTATAAATTTTGACCTAGTATAAATGAAAAGACCATTCGTAACTCATGCCCCAATACGAAACCTAGAAAACAAAAGCAAAGTTTAAGTTGTTTTGACTTTTTTTTTCTCGAAACAAAATCAAGACCCATGATTAGGTAACAAATGGAAGATGATCACGTTATTTTTGTAGATGTTATCCCCAGAAGTTATTTTATTTGCTATCCCACAATATTCGCATCTTTATTTACTTTTAGTTTTTGTTTTGGTTAAATAAAATATATGGATGCAGTTAGAAAAAGTGGTCGCTGATTATTAGGCAATATAAATGGTCGTTATATTGACAATATATATTTAAGTAGCAGTTGTATTAGAAACATAGTTATTTTTTTTTGTTGGACACAACATATATCAATGGGTCACACTGCTATTTTAATAGAATAGATAAAAAATCAAAATTACTTCCCCGGAAATGCGCCACCGAGCTAGCTTCCGACATATCACCCATGTCTTGATTTCGTTACTCTAGTATATCTTATGTTTCTTCTAACAGTAGTTTCCTAAACGTGCTAACGTAGAGTGATAAAACAAAACTAACTATTAGCTCTGATCCAAAAATCGGGTGTCTAGATACTAAACGCCATGCATCCACCCCGATTTAGACTTGAGATGCAAATAAATTTTAGGTTTGATCCGCGTGTTACGTAAAACTAAATCACATTATTCATGAACATCTACATAGATATGAAACAATCCATATACATATCTATAAATATGATTTATATGTGGGTTACACGTTCCATTAAGAATTAGTTTGGATCATTGCATAGTTTTTTAGATATCACATGTATTAATGAAAATCTATTAAAACTTTGAATCTCCTAAACAAATAGTGACGTTGACTGAGAAATGGTTTTCTCCTAACAATATGTCTGAAATAGCGTTTTTGCTACTTGAATGCTAGTGGAAAGAGCTCAAGTCTCCACTATCTCCATTCTTATTTGTGTCTTTCTGTCCATCGGTTTATTTTTCCTCTTTCTCAGTTAGATCCAGAGGTGGATCAACGTTGAGTAATAATGGATCAGTTGATACAAGTTTAATTTAAGCTCCAGCTATCTTACTATGTTGTCCATAAGATTTTCTAGGTGATTTGGTTAACATTCTCTTCTTCTGACTTTACCTAACCTAGGTTCAATGCTATATTGTGCTCTTTTATTAGTGATTTTTCTTAAAATTATTTTCATACTGGGCCAAAACCCAATTTTGTTGACACCCCTAAATTTTGGGTTGGGTCCGCCACTGAAGACTCGTGCTTATCGTGACATTGTTTATTGAAGAAAGCATATGCCTTCTATCCCTAATAAATATATCTAAATTTGGAGGCCTCATGTCAAGTATCATTAATAGTCTGGTGGTTTAAATGTCGGAGGAACGTTGTCTCCACTTTACAGTAAAATCTCTATAAATTAATAATGTTGGGATTACACTTATTTTTTTATTAATTTAGAGAGATATTAATTTATAGATATACAAAATGAACCAATAACTTAATTTGGGACTATAAAATTATATTAATTTATAGAGATATTTAGGGGGGATTTGCCAAAACCAACCTAAAATTTCATTTCAACCCTAAAGGTGTACCCCTTATTGAGTCAAATGCAAAACCAACCTAAAGGGGTTATGAAGTTACTACTTAACCCTTGTGACCAAACAAAAAAACAAACAGTTATTTTACGGTTCTGTCCTTTGCAAGTCTACACATAATAGAGAGAAGTCTACACATTTGTAGACCTTCTTAGAAGTCTACTTTGTAGACGTATTCTACAGTCTACATCGTCATTTGATCTTATAATTTAATTTTAAAAATGTATAAAAATAATTTTTGGGAAGTTTTTAAATAAATCATCAATATAAAGATTAG